GGACCAGCACGACAACAGTCTGGATTGAGCCAAGTAGGGGACATCTCTGGGGTCTTCAAGTGGGCACCTTCCGTCCTCAGTGTTTCGTCGACTAGCCCACGACACCTCAAGAGGGCTCGACAGTGACTCTGGCGTCCCAGAGTCACCCCCCTCCGTCCCCACTCAACTCAGCCCAGCTTATTGACCTCTACATCCCTCCTGCTGCTGAGACCTAACCACAATCTCACAATCTCTCCGCAACCCAACCATACGCGCCAACCCGTTTGACTAAGGCTGTCGAGCCCCACTGGTGCGTTAATATGCAGTTTCAGTGGCAACGGTTCCGTATGGCATACCTCCTACCGCAAAAACACAATATCTGCCCAACCACTCGAAAAATAGTTACTTCAACATTAACTCATGATTAGTGAATATATGAACTAATCATGAACCAATGAAGAGCAACCCTTAAAGGGATAGTTCACCCCAAAATGAAAATTCTGTTGGTAATTACTCACCCTCATGTTGTTCCAACTCTGTAAGGCTTTCGCTCATCTTCGGAACACAAATTAAGATATTTTTTTATTAAATCTGAGAGCTGGATCACTCCTCCATAGGCTTCTAAGGGATTGAAACTTCCCGGCCCAGAAAAGTTAAAGACATCGTTAAAATAGTCCAAGTGACTACAGTGGCTCAATCTTAAATTTATCAAGCGACGAGAATACTTTTTGTGCGCAAAAAAATAAAAAAATAACGACTTTATTCAACTATTAATTTCCTTCTCTGTGGGCCTCGAGATAGTTCACATAGTGTAACTGCGCAGCGCTTCTAGGTTGTACGTAACATGTAGGCTCACTATTGGCCGACGCTGGTCATGTGTGTGATGCGTGTGTGACGTACAACCTAGAAGCGCTAGGATCATAAATGTTGACTTCTTTGGTAAATTTGAATACATTTAATTTGATCTAAACCGTTTTCTGATTTTTATAGTTTATTTAGGCCTATGTTTAGTAATAGCTACTTTTCTTCCGGGTTTGTTTCTGGTGGGACACTCATTAGTGGCGCACTCTGTGCTTGCTCGACCATAGACAGTATAAGAAGTGGACAGAGCCATCTCATTGGAACTCAGTTGAGACAGTTGAAGCCCATTTTTAGCGATTTTTGAGCACTTCCGTTCCTGACGCGCAGACTCAAACCGACTCAAACTAAGCTTGATGACGTGAGCAACCTGTCTGACAGACGTTACTCTTCTAGTAGCTGTGCGTGAAAATTGCCAACGTTAATCTTGCAGAGACGGGGAACTTGAGCAAAGAGTTCTTTGGCGTGAGTGAGCAGGAGTAAGTAATCCGTTGCTTTTATGGACTCATTATCTATGGGCTTCTCCCTTGACGGGACGTCCCCCCGATTGCCTGCGAGCTTCTCCTCCTGTCTGTACGGTAATTTCTGTACAGCGCGACAGAGAGTCGAGTGGTTATGACGCAATCGTTAGCCTATTTTTACTAAATCTGTTTCTGCGGGGCCATAATGTAACATAGAAGGTAATGGAGCCCTTTATACATTGTCGTGTTTCTTTAGAAATAAATAATGGACAAATGGAGTCTTTAAACGCCTCAGATGTAAAGTTATCCGCTGTCAAAGTGACGCCAAAATGAATGGGAGTCAATGGAAATGCTAACGCAAGTGAAGTTCTGCTACAACATGGCGGCACCCGGCCGGCTTCAACTTCCGGTCGATGGATTACCCCCTTGTGCTCGACACGTTGGTTGTGTTCCTATGGTAATGCTGGCATTTTAATCTCATAAATGTTGACTTCTTTGGTAAACAGAATTAATAATTAAAGACATGTTTGCATGTATGTTGTATTTGGGAGGTTTCAGGAGGTTATGTACAGTAATTAACTGTATGTTTTGTTGTTTAAATATATATGCTTCAATAGGCTAGTTGTACGTGGCCGCCATTTTGGATTTTTGATCAGCGAGTGTGCGGTTAGACACTTCCGGTTTCGCTTTACGCCCGGTGCAGGGAGCCGGAGAAAGCCGAAAATGATCTCTTATAGTTGTTTATAGAATCAATTATATCATTTAAAATACTACTAAGATATATATTATCACATGAGCAAATGGCAATTAAATGCACGGATGCAAAGTCAGATTAATGAATGAAATACAACTGTTCATGCAGGAACAGAAGATTGTCTCATGCTGCATAAGCAATGAGAATTGTGCCTTCTGTACATTGTGTTACAACTACGATTATATTTGTTTGCATACAATACCGCCTGAACATTCACATGTTTGCCCTGTCTTATTTATCTCCATAAATAGGCCTACCATTTTCTCATTTCTGCGCATATATTTTCACTTACTTACATCAGTTGCTCGGTCAATATTATCAACACATATTTCCTTACATGCTTTCTTTGCATCAATTATTTTTATAGATAAAAACGACGGCGAAAAAAATCGGAATAATTGCGAGTAATTTACATTTTTAACTGTAACGTTAGTTAACACAAACAATTTAATATAGGCCTAGCTGTTTGTGTATATTTTACAGCAAATACTGTATGTGCTGCTTATAAAAAAACCCAGATAATGATTTATGAAATATTTATGATTTAAGATGATCTTTACTCATCTCACTTGCACAAAATAAATGCAGTAATAGAACGCATAGAAACACAGGTGAAATACGCTGAAAATTATGCATTTAAAGGAGCTGTATGTAAGAAATGTATTTCAATTAATCATAAAATGGCCCTGATGTGTCTCTAGACATTAAGAAATCATGTTCATTTCAAATAATTATATCACTGACAACAGTAGTACGGCCACGATATTGTCATTTAAAAAGTGAAGTTGCAGCCCTCAACTGATGTTGATGTTGTCATCTTGTGTTTTGGCCTGAAGCCCCACCCTTCACCTATCTACCAATCACGAAGTCAGTAGTGTTTCGGCATCCGGGTTGCCAGCTCTGCTCTAGTTGAAAGCTCCTTGTAGCAGCCTATGTTCCTGCTGGATCCTGCAGCCTATCTGGCAACCTCGAGTCAGGGGGGAGGGGGAGGGGATACACCGCTCTACAGTAATTTGAAAGTGATTGCAGTACCAATTTTGGCCACAATCTTACATACAGCTCCTTTAAATGACATACTAAAATACAAACAGTTAGAGCAATAATAATGTTAGCCTACCAAATAAAGTAATGCCGACAACAGACCCGGGTGTTTTTGTCACCCTCTGACGACAGATGCTTTTGATGCACATGAGTGTTTTTAAAATTCAAGGGAGGCGACTTGCCTTTCAGAGGTGACAGCCTCAGCACTTCACTGTTGTGTCTCGTTCAAACAAATAAGTCAGCTTTTCATGCATTCCCCGTTGGTCAGTCCCAAAATTTGAAGCTTTGTCCCACGTCCCGCAAGTCATAAGCAGTGTCCCGCATTTTAATTTCGTCTGCATCATTTTATTTCATCGTCCTTTAAATGACGATTCTACAATAAAAAATGTTAATAATAAAACACCGAACATGCGCAGCGCAGCCGTAATTATTGGTTCTAGTCAGAGAGGGAAAACAAACACTGAGAAACCCCCGCACACACAGACAAAAAAAAAACTGCAACAGAAAAATGGATCTGGCCTCCCGAGAAGAAAAAGCGCCTTGTTCGTATAAGGAATGGGAGAAAAAACATGGTAAAAACCAGTTACAGGTGACCCTAAAAAAGGAGATGTGTCTTGACACATAATGAATGAGAAGCCCCTACTCGAAGCTGCCATCAGACAAAAAATATAAATTCAAGATGCACTGAATCCGGTAAGAACGCATTTAATCTCTCTAGTCTTTCCTAATGGAATGATGTGCTTATTTGGAAATGTGTTTTTTAGCGATTGGATTATTATTTTCACTTAATTATTTAGATTGAAGACCCGTGCTGTTAAAATGAGTTTTATATTATTAGTGAGGTTCACAGCGCCGGGCAGCCCCGTCATTAACATTTTTATAAAGCCTATTAGCAATTTAAAGCATATCACTGCAAAAAGATATCTAATATAAAATCTATAGGCTATTTATTCACCTATAGTATAATAATAGCAAGTTCTCTCCGTGTCCCGCAAAATCAGGTCTGCTGATATAATCAAATATAATCGTAGTTGTAACTCAATGTTTACAGAAGGCATAATTCTCATTGTGTATGCAGAGACCAAGACAATTTCTGTTCGTGCATGAACAGTTGTATTTCATTCATTAATCTGACTTTGCATCCGTGCATTTAATTGCCATTTGCTCATGTGATAGTAAAATATATCTTAGTAGTATTTTAAATGATATAATTGATTCTATAAACAACTATAAGAGATCATTTTCGGCTTTCTCCGGCTCCCTGCACCGGGCGTAAAGCGAAACCGGAAGTGTCTAACCGCACACTCGCTGATCAAAAATCCAAAATGGCGGCCACGTGCAACTAGCCTATTAGCATTAGCTTATAGCTTATTCCCTATTTTACATGTAAAAGTGTCTTATGCGGGTCTTTACAGGTATGTTTGGACTTTCTTTTAAGTCCATAATTGTATATAAAAATAAAAGAACTACACATAATTATTATCTTTTTTTTGTACCATGGGTATAAAGGAATAAGGATGGCACTCTTATTGTATATGTTTATTCATATTTTAGTTAATGATTTGTAAGTGCATCATTGTGTCATTTCTTTACTTTAGGAGGCACATCATAATTACTTAATTATTAACTAACCATACACTAAAATCAACTAATGGCTTGTTAATGCATCATTATGTCATGACTTTACTTGAGGGGGCACAACATTACTAACTCATGATTAACTAACCATACACTAACATCAGGGATCTAGTGGAGGCTAAACGCACGTAAACGCTGTTTACGCACCTCCCAATATTCGGAAATAGTGTTTACCCACCTCCAAAGTGCGTTTATCCACCTCTCAATTGCGTTTATCCACCTCTAAATATCCTGTAGTTCCTAAGACATTTTAAATTAAGCTTATGTCGTTTTAGTTTCATATTGTTCATTATTAGTTTCATAGGTTGTTAAACCTAAGACGAACTCTTTCATATTGCGCTGCATTACTGTCAGTGTTGTTGACTATTACTGACGGTAAGGTTGCACTGTTGACGCTCGCGCAGCCTCTCTCTCGAGCAGAAATCTACACAAATGAGCGCAGCACACACACACTCAGTTAACAACATACTGCCTATAAAAATCTAAATGTGGAGTTTTATATTTTTAACATATGTTAAGCAACCTCAATTATTTTTCCTGAACACCATCACGATTGAAAATGTGACATTGATTTCCTAAAACAGGCTGTTTTTGTTCTGTTTCAACAGCGAAAATAGTTCCAAACAAAAATCACAGCAGAACCACGGCGCATGTCACAGGAACACTCAACCTGTTTTCATTACTGAATTATTCAGCATTTTGAACGAATCGATTGAGTCAAAGATTCAATGACCCATTCATAAACATCTGTCTCAATCTTGAATGAATCAGCCGTTTGAACGAATCGTTTGAATGAATTAATCAATGACTCACTCATTAAGACAGTGGCCTGCCACCACCTACTGGTAGCCTGGCATGCCAGACCTACATCAAGATGTTAGGTCTGGGAACTCTCCATTGACATGCCTCAATCCGAGGGGCGGGATAAACGGTTACCTTTCAAAATCCCTCTGCACGCAATAGGATAACGCTACAACCAACCAGAGCAACGAACGGTTGTGGATGAGTGAGTCCCATGCGTTTTTCCACCAGCGGAGCTAATTGATATATTAAGCTTTTGCCGTATCAGGACGGCAAAAATCCAAACACATCTTCCTTTTTTAAGAATGACTTAAGTGACGTTCTCTTAACTCCAAGTCCTCCAGAGTCGCGGCCAAAGCCGATTCGAAAGACCGCTGCATCTTCATTGTTTTCAATTAGCAGGGAAATCACCTATGGAAATCACGCGGAACGTCATGAACTGTGCCGTCATTGTGTTAAGCCCGCCCGCCGACTCTATACACGATGTGATTGGCCTGACCAGTTTTTGGTTTTTCCAGCTCAAAAGCCTATGGAGAGTCACACTGGCTGCGAAATAATTTTCGCTGCCGCTAGGGTGCGTCTAGATTTCTAGGCTAACCTACTGGTGGTTTAGTGTTAAATGTTTAAAAGTAGTATCATTCTTTCCAACATTTCTTATATGTAAATTTAAATCAATTTCATAACATTATTTTATGCAATTGTAATTTTTCAGTGTAAATGATTTCATTTTATCAGCCCCTAGAGTAACAGCCCTAGTGTCTTATTATTCGAAATAATTGAATTTATTGATCAAATTTAGGAATTTAAAATGAAAGATGAAGCATACATTTAATAATATTGGGGGAGGGGATGGCCTTTAAAGGTGCAGATATTACAATATGGTGATTTAAATATCAAAGCTGATTGAACACTGATGAGAATATTGTTTCAGAATAAATTAACACACACAAAATAAAAATAAAAAATCCGGACGAGCAACTTTTTTACTCGGACAAGTGAATGACAGATTTACTTGTCCGAAGGACAAGCGTATGAAAAGGCTTAATGTCGAGCCCTCCCTATATAGCAATGTCATCAGGATACACATAAACCGGTAGGCAGTGGCCCACCTTACCTGGTGACCACGTCGTGGTCCACCAGAATTTATAGTTTACCCACCTCTTTTTTTTACCACTACACCTCTGACTAACATAAAGTAATGGCTTGTTAATGCATGACTGTGTCATGACTTTACTTGAGGGGGCACATTATTACTAACTCATCATTGAATTCATGACTTGTCATTTCTTGTCTTGGCCCTCAAGAGTACATCTTTAAAAAGTTATCAATTACACATGTTCTATACATATTCAGCTCTTCTAAATCAGATATCATTTGGTGCTTTTCGGTTGTTTGAAAAGAAGTGGAAGAGCAGAGGTGCTGTGCCCAAGGAACTGAACGGTAGGAGGAAAGTGGACACATTTTGAAGGGGCAATAGTGGCCCCAAAGTAGAGCAAGAAAACAAGACTAACATCCGACTGCATTATGATATAAACACAGTAAACCAATCCACAAAATAACCACAGAAATAACCATCATCTGTGCTAACACTGATTTTAATTTAGAAAATTGCATCCGTTTAATGGATATGTTAGTGTAGGTATTTCACTCTTGATTGCAGCAGTGGAATCACTTAAAACGGAATGAGATTAAATTGTTTTTAATGATGAATGCATCATTGTGTGTTCAATGAGTAAGGTTAAATGTAAATATTGCAAGACATCTATGTCATTCAATGATGTTTTTAACAGTTGCTGGTGGCAAATTTATGAGGAATTTTACATTTTGCCCTTTTAATACATCTTTCTTCTAATCTAGAGCATGTTTGATTTAATTTACCCCAAAATTGTTAATTAATAGGCTACATTAATTAACAAGCATGTACTAACATGTAGCTAAGATGGTATATTCATGCAGGAATTCATATGACTCCTGTCGTAGTTAAGGTTAGTTCTTCATTAGTACATGTCTTAACTCATCATTAGTTCATAGTAAAGTAATTATTAATTCAGGTATTAGTATGATTACTCATGTACTGTTATTGTAAAGTGTTACCTATATATATATATATATATAAATATATACATTATTAAAATGCTATAAAATTTAAAATAATTGTATAGCATTTTATAGTAATTCTAGTTGTACTGTAAATATATACACATAAACTGTTTTTTACTTTTTAATCAATTTTAAGGTCAATTATTAAATTCTGCCTATGTTACAGAGAAGAAATAATTTAAATATTGGGCCAAATATTTCTTAAACACTATTTCCACTTTGACCTTCCACTACAGACCTAATGTACCCAGATCGACTCTGATAAATTCAAAAGAAGCATGCAGGTCATGAATGAAGCCTTGTTTAAAGAGGAGAGTTTTCACAAGCCAGCTGGACGGCAGCATTTATTTGAGATTATGAGGTTATGGACACAGACGCACACACAATCAGTCACAGCTCATTTCAGCTCCCTTTATCGGTCTGCACACATTTTGTAACTGATGTTGAAGCGCAGACTGATTTGTTCTAGTTTCCACACAGAGAAATAGATCTCTTGGCACAACAGAATTTGTGAGTGTCAGGATTTGGATAGGTGAAAGGAGCGAGGACTCAAGTGCAGGAAACAAGGGAACATTTATTTGTATTTAAAGCAAAAACTACCCCGGAGGGGTTGACTTGACTTGACTTGTGAGATTTTTTACTGTACCCCTAATGTAGGAGCCATTTATGTTTATTGTTGGCATGATATTTTATTAGTATTTTGGACACTGGGTGGCAGTGATTAGATGCACATAGTTGTATATAGGGGGCATAGGTGACAGGAAGTGGTACAGGCACAGGTAGGGGGAGCACACACAGTTCTCACCAGACCACAGAGCATGGACCACAGATCACGGATTAGAGTCCAGAGATCAGAATTGCACTTTGTTTTCATCTTTTCTGCTTTTATGAAAGAGTCTGGGGTTGATCTGAGTTATCCCACAATGCATTCACAAAGAGACTTTCAAGGAGAATCAAAGAGAGAGAATGAAATTTTGCTTTCGGTTGCACATGGGTTTTGGGTTGATCATGTGCTACAATTGAGACAAACAACCATCAGAGCAGCACTTCATGATTCTGCTTTGGTGAAATGCAATCCACTAACACTGCATGGATGGTTTGCTGGAACATGTACTTCAGGATGACACCCGACCCTGTGATTTGGCAGAGAGTTGCCTATAGGTTGAGTAACTTTTGACAAATTGTCATATTAAAGATTCTTTAGATCATGATGTGGGTCTGTGTATACAGTCCACAATTTGCCTTTATTTTTGACAGTTTTCATCATAAAGTTGTTGTTTTTATGCATATCAGTAGAGGCAACCTTCTGTCTCTCACTTCCATTTACATGTGTTTTTTGTGTCTCTGTCCCTCCTTTTGTGTCTTTTGGTTCACTTGGCTAGAATAGTACAACAAACAGTAGCCTACCCCTTTCAGCCCATTCATTCAGTGTGTACTTGCCCACAGAGTCGTGTTCTGTTTAACACACATTCACAGCACACAAAGACCACTGACAGGAAGTACAGCTACGTTTTTGAAAAATGAACCATATAGCAACAAAAGCAAACAAGGTCTTGTTTTGTGATGGATGATTGTGAGGTTTACGTGATCTATCGATCTCTTTCTTGAAACTCTTTCCCAGTGAGGGGTGTTGGGTCTCTGGAGGAGAGCAGCTGTAATGAGACCTGATCTGTGGCTTGCTGCTCCATGGCTCATCAGACGCATTTATCACTCTTGTGTGTATTAATCTTCTCTTCATGAACAGAGACTCAGAAAGAGAGAGAGAACCAGAAAGAGTTGTCATGTGGCTTGAATGCTGACATATCGTCATAACACATTTTCACACATTTCCCAAAACAATTTTTTTTTTTTGCATGACAGACTTAAGAAATAACACTTTTAACCACCAATGGTGGACACTAACAAAGTATTTTTGGATTTCATTTAATCTTATATTACAAGATTATAATCGATTTCGAATTATCTTGAAGTGAACGAGTACAGTAACATAAGATAAATCAATAATTTAGATTTTTTAAAATTATAACTTATTTTTAATAATTAAATATGAGATATAGTATTAAATATCTACTATATGAATATGCTAAATCATAAAAATTATTAAATATATTAAATTAAATGTGTATTCAATATGCATTTAATAATAATGAAATCATTATATTTAATATAAATTATTTTATTATTTTACATAATATATTTTTACTGCAGTTGTTTACTTTTCACAGCTTTTTCAAGTTAAATCAAATTAAATTATCACCTCCTCCATACAATATCAGTTTTTAAGATCTTGCCATTCATTTTCCATAAAGAAAACAGAGGTTTTAATGATGTGATTTGCAGTCGATAGACATTCATTTGAATTGCAAAAAAATAAAGAAGTATTGTCCTAGTAGATCTTTGACTTTTCATACTTAAGTACATTTAATGTAAGTAGGTACTTATGTACTTTTACTCAACTTGAATATGAATATGAGAGTACTCAACTTTTAACACTTAAGTAAAATATCAGCACAGGATTACTTCATCCACCACTGCTATCACTCACTTTACAGTCTGACACCAGACTGCATGACAGCTGACATTTTGTGACTCTTTAAATCCCCCATGAATAGCATGTGAAAACATCCGCTCTGGTTTTTGCTGTTGCTCTATGTCTTTGGTTTCCACAGAGATCTGAACCACAGTACCTTTACAAAGCAGCCGCCTGCAGTACCTCAGCTAGGATTGCTAGAGGTACAGGGTAAGACAGTAACAATAAAATCCATAACACATCACCTTCAATAGGAACTTATTTAGAACCTGTACACCATATGCTATTTACACAAGAAAACACATGAATCTCCATTTAATCTCCCATTTCAAGTATTTCCTGCTTCTTTTTTTTATGTCTGCTTATTGAAGCTCAGGCAACATGTACAGATTCTCATGGTCATTATCTATCACAAGAATATCCGTGCAGTTGGAGGAATGAATGATACTGAGGCCTGCAAAAATATATATATACAAAAATAATATAATTTACTTTGATCTGTATCTGAGTACCACTGTAAAAACTAACGCGCGGCAACTTTACTTTGAACAAGTTTGCATTCTTGACATCACACCCACCCAATGAGATAACAGAAGAGCGGACCAAAAAAGCCTTCGAAACTTCAGTGCACCTGTCTGAATATGGCTGGTCCTTTGAAACAGGAAGTGTATGAGGAAGAGCACCAAGGAGGATGTGGTCAAGCGTTAAAATGCCTCACACGCCACAGTGAGATGCTTAAATTTACCTTCACCTAAAGCCGGTTAACACTGCAACATGTCTGCAAACCCACCGCAGCAAAGAGGGCCTGTCCCTGCATGGTCTACAGCTCTGCCAGAACCAGACCTTTGCTCTTACAGACAGTTTAAAGAGATCTGGCAGCACTGCTGCATTCTAAACATTTCTGCAACCTTCACTCAGAACAAGGCCTATACAGAGCAGTGGGTCAGAATGAATGTTTCTGCTTATCAACTGGAGATGTTTATTTACATTCCTCTAAAGCAGCCGTGTGCGTCTAATGGTTGACGTCAAAGTGTCTATGATCAGAGGGGTTCAGAGTATGAGCAACCAGATGAAGACGGCAGATTTATATGCCTCTTCTTCTAATTTATGTGCTTCTTCAGCGATTCATTACATGTATAAACATGTGTAGCATGCCGGCTGTGTGATATACGAGTGGAGGAATGGAGATAACTCATTGTTTACTGTAATGATGGTGGTTAGACACTTTTGCTGGCAAACTGATTTATGGCATGTCCATGTACTGTATACTAGTGACGTCAGGTTTGAGTTACCACAGTGATGAGCAGCCTATTTATTACTTATTTTTATTACTTATATTACTTGCCTCTAAATTAACCCTATACTGTATTCTGTTTTATTAAATATATAAATAATTGATCTACTAATGAATCTTTTATTTATTATTATTATTATCATTTTACTTTTTAATAAAAAAAATTTAACGTTTTTATATTTATTTATTTATTTATTTTCTTTTTCATTTCAACATCTTTATTTTCAATAGATTTTAAAATAAAATAGTGACACCGCTTGGTTAAATTCAAACTAAACCTCCTCATTCCTTCCTTTTTATTTCATTCTTCTTTCATTTCTGTGCACTAAAGCAAACATTTCTGTTGACTCAGTGCATGTTTTAATTTCATTTTAGTTTAAAACGGAAAGATGAAATGCTTCTTCAGTTCAGGTTCAACTCACTGTGAATTAAATCTGCATGACTTTGCTGAACGATCAGCTGCCTGAGCAGGACATTTCTCATTTATATTGTATGCGGTGGTACTTTCTCTATAATTCAAGCCATTATGCAGGCTTAGATTCAATTTTAGTATTTCAGTTGGAATCAGCACTCAAGGCACTATAGACGAGCCCTTCCCAGCTCCCTTAATGGGCAATGGCAGTGGAAAAACATTAGTATAGAAGGCTTTCATCATATTTATATGGCCCAGTGAGTGCAGGTGTGTGTTATCGCAATCACATACAAGGGAGATCGGAATCATAAAGGAGGGCGAGCGGGCACAAAGGAGAATGTGATACAGTCAGGGCCTCTGCAAAGGGATCAGACTGTTGGATTTGTGCCCTGAAGGTCATGGCTGTTCAAAACCTTTCCCCCATTTGTCATTTGGATCCTTTGTTTCCTCACTGTCCACCCAAGGCAATCAGAGGCGGTCTTTTCTTTTTCAAAGATTGTTCTGAGACACTTCCTGCATAGCAAATGGACACTTTCATTGTCACTGAATCCTGTGTGGGTGTGACACTTGTGGAAAAACTTGTATAATATACCTACATTCCCAAAATACAATGTTTTATACATCCTGCCACACTCCCTTGAGGTCTATTATGCCATTGGTTCTCGGCTGATTTTGTTTCTGGATCCAGTTTATACATTGGACATACACACTACTAAAAAAATTTATTATACAAAAGGTAAATCAAAATTTCCTTAAAATCAATTAGTGGAATTTATTAGAAATACTGTGAATTGTGCATGTCCAAAATAAGCATGAAATTTAAAATGTAATCATTTTGTACAGATGGAGCAAACACTGGGTTAAATATTTCCAAGCGACAAGGGAATTAATGGCACAATTTGTTTGGACTCACAGCCATTGACAACAACAATACGTGGAAAGCATTATATCTGGTAAGCCCTTAAAGAGGATTGTGCGAGCCATTATACTTTTTTTACATTTTCAACTTTCTTTAGTGTGTAATATTGCTGTTTGCGCATAAAAAGATCTGCAAAGTTACAAAGCACGGAGTTATTCTCTATTTAAGCAAGCATGTGTTTCTTAACTCCCTAAAACACCTCTTTTAGTCTCAAGTTTTCTTCCAGGAACATACACGTCACAATATTCCCTATTTAAATAATAAGGCATATGCAAAAAATACTGGCCGAGGCCTGGTTAAGTTGCGTTAGTAGTGTGTTGTCGCCATGTCCAAGAGATGCTGTTTTTTCCACCCTGGATCTAAATCAGTTATGATAAGAGGCATAACATTTCCAAAACACGCTCAAAGCCGTTGACCAATCACAACACACTGGTCCAGCCGACCAATCAGAGCACATTGCATTTTCAGAAGGAGGAGCTTCAAAGAGACCAGAACTAAACAGAGCGTTACTGACAGACTGAGAAGAGAGGTGCTGCAACAATGTAACGTGAATTTTATTTAATTTTTTTACATTCAAGCATCAAAACCTATTCTACTAGACCCCAGAAGCACAATCAAGACTTTGTAAAAAGTAAAACTACCGGTATTGCCTCTTTAAATAGAAAATGAAGGTTAGGCAACAATAATGCAAACAGCTCCACATATGCACCTTGACCCAATCTCTCCATCTCATAACAATTCACCACACAATACAGTATAATCCCCATTCCATATTTACCCTGTTCCACATGAAAGCAGCAATCACGCTGGAGTGACCAAGTTAAATGTGAGAGGAAACAGATTTTGTTGCATGTTGAAATCCAGCTTAAGCCTTAATGTCAAAGAAACAAAGCTTAATGTCACATGGCCCCTGTAATCTTGATGCTTGGTTTGCAGCACTAAATATAAAACATGCTGCATTAATGGACCATTTCAGTGTCTATTCTGAAGGCATTAAGAATACACTGAGAACAATAGCTCAAGTGGTGCCAGCAGTCTCTGACTAGGCAACAACACACCCAGCTGGAGTTGTGCCCCCCAATCAGCCATAATGCAGTTACAAAAACTGAACTCTCTGCTAAGGATCAGACTACCTTTGAATGCATTAAAGGGTCACATAAAGCTACTGTAATATGCAAATATAATATGAATAAGGTGCTTCTGTGGATATCAAATGTCTAACCTTTTTATCTCTCTAAAACTAGCGTAAACTACCGCATTTTAGCAAAACTAAGCAATGCTTGCAACAAAATTCAAATATCCGTCAAATATCTTAAAGGTGCACTCTGTACGTTTTTGTTAATTAGTAATTCATTTGACCCATTTTTACTAACTGGCTAAGCTGTGACCTGGCTTTGCCCGTTGAGTGTTTGCTTTCAGCATTATTTTGATGTCACAGAATTTTGTCCTTGATTTGTGAAGTGGACGGTTTGTTTTGTCACTCCTTGTGACTGTATGCATATTGTGTTTGTTATTGTTAAATTAGCTTGTTTTGTTTACATGTTTAAGCTCTGTAAAACATGTTATCACTGCTGGCTAAAAGTGCTAAAAATAAAATAAACATTATATTAGTAGTCTAATTATAGTAGGCCTATAACTAAATTGTGTTAAACGGCTGATCATGTGATGTCAATAGCGACACCCATGAGGCACTCCATGCAGAGTAAAACGACTTTAGAAGACCTTATAGCCTATTTCGTTTTCAATTCATTTAAGTTGTAATATTTTAATTTTAATACTTATTTTTAAAAAGCGCATTTTTTTTATGTATAAAACTTTAAACTACCCTAGAAGAGTTGAATTTGTTTAAATTTGCTAATGATCCAAGCGTTTAGGATATTGTAATGAACAACATGTCATGAAACATGGTTAAAAGAAGTAATTCATTTATTACAGCATCAGCCTAAAAGTATCTTGCAGATGAATAACATCTTCTGGAGAGGGCGTTCCTTCTCTATATCAGGGATGATTCACGGTTTCGAGACAGTGTGTGATGCGACTCTGCACAGAAAACTATCTGACAATCATTCATTACAATAGCTGTTGTTCCGTGGCACACCACTGAAATGAGGACAAAAAATGCCAGAAGACGCGCTGCATGAGTCTGCCAGGCGGATGCAGGTGAAGAGTTGACTGCGAAAGTGGATCTATTGCATAATCAGACGGAGCACAAAGAGAGGCAACGAGGGAGCTTCGTTTTGAACTATGGCGGCAACAAATCTCATTATTCTGACATAAATTTTGATAACGAGAAAACGTGCCACCTTGGAGAACAGCGGCGAATTGTTGGGTATGAGGATAAAAAACACCCTGCCTCAAAACTTTCAAGTTTAAATTCTTGCTACCAGAGGTTGCATTCATTTTTAGGCTACCTGTGCAGTGTGCTCTCAATTAACACTAAACTGACTAGCTTATGTGATTTTATAGGTTTTTTAAGCCAACATCGGAAGCTTTTGGAGGTATTTGTGCAGCCTCAGAAGCCGTTCAAATGCTGGAATGGATTGGTGCTGCTTGTTTTATGATTTTAATGGCCATACTCTGGCCAGTGGTGAAGTGTTTTGGAGCGGAGAGTCACTCCACGCTGCTGCTTCCACGGCGCGAGAGCAAAAGATCCGCGGAGAGATGCGACTCGAAACTCGAGGGACAAGGTGAATCTGCCACAGTCGCTTTGATATGCAAGCCCTCTGCACTGGCAAACTACCTTCTCAAACATTGCATGACTTTTTGCAAGTCGTTATCGATACCAAAATGGAACTGGCGAATGAGTTCGTCTTTACAAACTGTCTACGGTGCTTTGTGGCCGTTTGACTGTCCCGTGCATTTCATCCGAGATCATTTGCAGTTGAGTGATGATGGACTCGTGGCGTTAGACTGGGCTGTTGTTGGTGCGGCACATCACAAGAGGCGCAGGACTTCCAGTAATTCCACAAGTCCCGTTCTGCTTATCATTCCCAACTCCTATGGGAAAATCACCAGGAATGTGTTAAAGGTAGGCTACTTGCCTTTTTGGATAATTTTATATAATTTTATATTGAAAACAGACTAACAATTTCTGAGAATATCGCAAAACACAAATGTATTTTAAAATCGTTATACCTAGATATTTTTATATCTAGTTTATATATTTATATATATATATATATATATATATTATATATATATATATATATATATATATATATATATATATATATATATATATATATATATTTATTGTGTGTGTGTTCTACGAGGCTGACCCATTTTTATTTGAACCAATTATGATATTTTACCTTTGACCTTTCAGTGTGCTATGCAGCTGAGTGAATATATAAATCGAATATGGCTGAAGGATATTCTATATTTTTCCCATTATAATGAGGCTAAAGACCCATTGGATGCAATTTTCACCTAAAACACTACATGGCAACAGAAATGTTGGCAGCAGTTTCCTAAACACTTTTAAAGATCTTTGCTGTTGTGACGTGAATTTGTTGGCCAATCCAGAAGGCTAATTCACCTATGTTTTTCTTTTTTTCAAATCTGTGGCTAACAGTACTTGAAGATTTTTTGTTGTGCAAAAATTGCACATTCAATATGTCAATTGAGTTTATAACAAGTTGCTACATAAAGACTACCAGATGTCTGGTAAATGGTAAACTCGCATTCTTGTTGTAGTCCTTATTTAGCAAGCAACCATGTTTTGAAAATTCCAAATCTCTGTCTACTTGAATGGGGGAAAGACTGAAAAACACACAACACACACACACACACACACACACACACACACACACACACACACACACACACACACACACACACACACACACACACACACACACACACACACACACACACACACACACACACTTTTCAGGCTTTTCCAGGCAGCTAATGTGGATTTGATGCTAAACAATATGAAACCATTATCATCCGCATATTGTCCAGGATAAATGCATTCTGTGGGGTCATATTTAACGAACAGGACAGGTGAAACTGATACGGTACAGAAAGAGTTAATAAATGTACTTTGAGTGAGGCTGCATTATGCACAGTCTGAATTTGAAACGATTTGAGGCAAGGATCAAATTAGTCTTGAGAATACAGTATGAAACTGGGGTACAGTAAGGTGACGGAATACTCTGACTGTTTTGCATTAAAGTGAAGATGCTGCATGACTTTTTCATTATTTCTGGCAATTATAGCATGCATGATCGAGCTTCTCTCTGACTCTTTGTAGCAGATTCAGAAGTGAGTCATTCCTCCTCAGCCCATTTGGAGCTCACTCCATGTTCCAGACCTAAAGCTCCAGGCAACTTTAAGTAAACTCATTAGATTTTACACTCCATTGTGGATGATTCCTGGAGAAATGTACTCTGTGTTCACCGAAACTTTGTTAGCTGTGCATTGGTGAGTATAGGCTAATCAATGTATTAGCAGGCTCTTCTACTTCTCCTTTTTGTGTAGGGCATGACTGAGAGGAGTCATGGTGAAGATATCTTTGTAGAGAGATAAGAGCCATATAAAAGTCAAAGCGCTGCGTTCTTACAAATAATGGTTCTTTATTGGCTTCAATGGTTCCATGAAGATCCTTTAACATCCATTGAAACTTTCCACTGCACAAAAGGTTCTTTATAATGGAAAAGGGTTCTTTATATTTTTCAAATGTTTTTTACACTAAGAAAAAAAAATGGTTCTCACTGAAACATTCTTAAGGAACCAAAAATGGTTCTTCTATAGCATCGCTGCGCAAAAAAACCTTTTGAAACCTTTATTTTTAAGAGTGCACTTCTGCATGGCCAAGTAGTCTGGGATAATTTCAATCACTTTGTGTGTGTGTGTGTGTGTGCGTGCGTGCGTGCGTGCATGCGTGTAAAAACTGTATATTTGACACTCGGTCATGATTAGACTGACTGTTACAGTAACCACATTTAAATTAGTACAGACCCAGCTTTTTTTTCTTTCTTTTTTTACAGAACAATAAAGTAATGCATATGGTTCCCTTTTAGTTTTATAGGATGTATGGCAGTGTCTGTTTCATGGTTATATGTAAGTCTATATGTTAAATAGAAACATTTGAAGGGTTTGGTTGGGGTTGAATTCTAGTCCACTCCGTGTGTTTCAGAGGAATGTTATATACACTGTGATCATTGCACACAGGCGAGAGGCTGGACCAAATTTGCACATCGCAAAGCAGTGTGTTTCCTGGCTGTTCAGGGAATTGATGCAAGTAAAGGATATGAAAATACTGTGGTGTACTTGGGCAGATCCTGTTTCTACATTAAGTCATATTCATTTGCATCTTAGCCCGATAAGTAATTTGCCATCATGAATAGAATAGAGGAATTGCTGTTGCTTGTTTTTGGTCTTTTTGCAATTTTGCTCATAGTAAGAGAAGGCGGGATGACATTAAGTAATAGGGAAAAGGAGGAATGGGATGGAGATGTTTAAGTCCAGATTTGTCCCAAATGAGCACTACAAGTCATTGTGAAAAACACCAGCACCCTTGCTCTTGGCTAGATTTGAATCCTTAATTTTTAGGTACATTATGCACAACATATTGGTATCATTTAGCCTGGGAAAACCCAGACAACTTCCGGCAAATTTAGATTTGCTCTGCAAGTTAGTCTGGCAAAGAGCTCATTTGAGCCCATTTCTAATCCGTCGAAATCACGGCACCAATCAGAAACGTTGGGGCGGGCTTTACACGATGACGACAGCACAGCGACGGTGAAGCAGATTTTGGCCCTGTCCCAAATGGCATACTCCGGACTTGTGGACTTCCTCAGAGTCCACACTTCGGTGACGTCATGTAGTGCAGACCTATAGGGCCCTTAGCGCGAGTCCGCGAGGGCGCATTGAGAGGTATTTTTGGGACAGACTCGATCGTCACGCCGGAAACAGGAAGATGGTCTGATTGTTGTTATGGACAGGAGCTACATGTTCGGGGAAATATGCTGCCTATTGTTGTTGTGTTTACATATGACTCAGTAAAGCCCTGACATTCTGTTCTATTTATTTAATGAATCATAATGCGATCGTATTATTCAGCTCGCTATTATTAGCCTATGTTTGAGACATCAACCACTGGTCGATGATCATAATGTTTGTATAAACTTTTCATAAAAACCGTAATGATAATTACACTTAAATATTTTCTTCTCAGCCATGTTAACAATTGTCCGTGCGCGAAATCTCCTCCCATCCGTTGTCTGATTGGCCTTTCGCAAGGATTCCTGGGTAGTTAAAGTGCGTGGAGCCTGCATTTTTGCGGGCTTCGCGGAAGACCACTTCAAGGGTACAAAGGGGGCGCTGCTGAGCACACTTCAGAGCGTTAAAATGCTAAATGGGACGGCCAAAGGTGCGCGCGGCAAAAATGACGCGTTGGGTGCGCAAGACCGGCAAGACCCCATTCTTGGCTGTGTGCACGGCTTTTTTGTAACAGCGCGCGCGACGCCGCGTCTGAGGATGAACGACTTCAAGCCGAATCTGCCCGTACATCTCACCGCACCGGCACGCAGTTTGCGCGTCTAAATTGCAAAGTTCATTGCAAAGTTTTATTTTGTTAAGGTTTTGTTTGCTGTGTGTGATTTATTTAATGGAAAGCACATTCACTTCTAGTTGTCTTGCTGTTAATTTTAAATAAACGTAGAGGAAGTAGCATTCAAGTTGTTCGCTCTGCATACATCTCCTTCATTGCTCTGATTGGTTTTAAGTCTATCCAATTTCGCCCAGAGGCATTTGAGCTACGTCCGTTGGTGACGCCCCTTTGGAAATGATTTGTCTAGGAAGCTTTGCCAGACCATAACTCAGTTACAACTGAGAATGGTCTGGTTTTAACCAGGCTAGGTATCATTTAGAACTCAAGCTAAATATATTTACCTTTATCTCACTCAAAGAACGTGAAAAATATTTTGCACTCTGATGGATTGTTTGTTTATAAGGATTCTTCACACTTGTGAAACTTGAGGAATTTGGCGTCATTGTTGCTGGTCCTTCCATCGAGTAACAGAATTTAACACAACCCTGATGTTAAAACAATTCAGCAACTGGGTAGCAATGACCATATTATGGTAGTATGGACATACACTGTATATTTTATTTTATAACAGTTAGTTTATGGCAACGCTCTGTTTCAAAATGAATTGAAAAGTGTATAGTTTAGAATATTTATTTTCACTTTAACCCAAGACTACTTATTACAGGTGTGGACAAGACTCAAGCAAAACATCTTTGTTTATATGCACAAGTATGTCCCCTGTGTGCTGTATCTGGCCTGTGACCGTTTCTGTTTTTTTCTCCTCAGCTCTGTGAGGCAGCCTTGAGTCACGGGTACCTTCCTGTGATCTTCAACCGTCGGAGTCAGAACGGGACACCACTCTGTACCATCAAGCTGCAGCAGTTCGGCGATCCGACCGACCTGCGGGAAGCGGTGCGCTACATTCGGTACCGGCAGCCGGCGGGCCAGATCTACGCCGTGAGTGAGAGCACTGGTTCAGGACTGCTCCTGTCCTACTTGGGCGAGTGTGGCTCCTCCAGCTATGTGACGGCTGCGGCCTGCCTGTCTCCGGTTTTCCGCTGCCAGAGCTGGTTTGAGAGTGGCCCGACCAGGCCGTTCAACTGGGCACTCCTGCTTTACCAAAAAATCTGCCTCAGCAGGTAGGGTTGCTCCTCTGTTTCCACAAAATATCTGTTTACATTCAGGACTATTTAGAATTGAGCTTATCTTTAAAGTCCCTGTAAAGTCAAAATTAAGTATGTGTTCTGAGGTTGTCACACAACAGAAAAATGTGTTATTAGCCACCCAGCCAAATTTGAATGATAAAAAAAGCCGGCAAGTACATAAAATAAGCTATCAAAATCTTGAAAAAATGAGCAGTATTCTCTGCTCTCAAACGCTGGGGGCGTGTCCGCTGGCTGTGCTGAAACCACGCCCACTCGCGGGAAAGCTGCCTAAGGTGATATTAGCTGATACTGCTTTCGGGACGGGGAGATGAAGGCCGAGGCGGGAGATAGTCGGTTCGGCCCCATTCACCAGTAACAGCGGATTATCAGTGAATCCCAGTTGTCTCCGACGAAAGTTTATAAAACTATCCGTGTAAAACGATCACTACAGAGGCGGGTGTTGGCGGTGATCCTCAGCTCTCCATCAAGGTTGGCTCTTCACAAAATTAATCCACCTCTTCTTGATGTGATCGTTTTCAGGAAATTTAAATAAAGACACCGATCTGTTTTGTACATGATCGGATCCAGGTAGCCTACGCATTTCCGTGTCGAAGGTATAGCTAGCTAGAAAACTGTAGGCTGTAGTAACTAATAATACTGACAGTACTCGCGATTGAGCAGTGAACTGATGCGAATGTGCTCTATTGTTAGGGGAGGGGCCAGCCTCAGTGGCCTCAGTGCGTCATCAAGTAGGGGCGTGTCCAGGAGCTCAGGGGCTCCAGTGCGTCATCGAGCCCTGTTTTAGCCCCGCCCAAAAAATCCGGAAAATAGCAATGGTGAAAAACTGTTTAACGGTCTAACTCCACAATTCAGTATTTCACAGTTCACAGTCTTTGTAATATGTTTTAGCAATACATTTCTAACATTTATAATGGGTTTAGAATTTTTTTTTTTAGAATTGCCTTTACAGGGACTTTAAGGATGTTGAAACATTTTAGAAGATTTTTATTAGATTTGATTTGATTTATTCTTTATTAATCCCGAAGGAAATTCAAGGCATCAGTGGCTTAGACAACAAAAATACACAATACACACACTATCAAATACACTAAAAGTTGTTTATCAAATCCTGTTTTCAAAATGTCCCGTTGCCTGCAATTTTTCACTGCAATATTTTAGTTTAAAAAAAAATAACATCCTTTTTGGCTCACAAAATCTTTCGTATCAATTATGGTTAAAAAAAACAAGAACAAGAAGAAACAGTTTAAAAGTGGGATAAAGACATATATGAAAAAGGGAAAATAAGAATACATATAAAAAAAGAGTAAGTAAAGGAAAACTTAATTAAAAATATGTTCTTTGAATGTTAGTCTTTATATCTTTTGCAAGTTTAATGATAAAAATACCAATTCCATTTTCTTTTTGGAGCGTTGAATGGCAGTATATAAATGAAACCTTATTTAAATTAACGTTGTGTTGTCTTTTCCAAAGGGATTGGTCACAATAAGGCATTTCTAAAATAAATCAGCTCAGGGTGATCCAAATTAAAATACAATGCTGTTGCCATAACGACTAGCGATGCGTATCCAGCGCTATTGATTTCTGTGATCTGTCTAAATAGGTTGCCTGCTCGAATCGATGATGATAACAAAACTCTTCCTTTGCTGCTCTTCTCTATTATGATTAAACTGCAGGTATAAAACTGTGCTCGGGGAGCTCGTCCACACAGACAACTTATTCTCCAGCTGCTCTTTGAAGGCGATGGAGGAGGCGCTGTTCTGTCATTCTGGCTCAAAAGGGGCGATGGCGGAGGGAGCAGGTAGCTGGGAGGCGTACTGGGAGCGGAACGACCCTCTGAGGGACATAGATGAAGTAGCCATTCCTGTGCTGTGTGTGTGCAGCCAGGACGACCCCATCCGAGGGGATGACCAGGCCACTCTACCCTTAGAGCTTTTTGAGAGCAATCCACATTTCTTCCTGCTTTTGACTGCCCACGGAGGCCACTGCGGCTTCTCCACATCAGACGAGGGCCCGATCGTCTGGAGCCACCAAGCCTTACTGGAGTTCTTTCGCGCCACCACTGATTTCTTTGCCGCGGAGGAGCGTGCCAAGCTGGCGGCCCGGCGGAGGGGTGTGAGCGGGGCTGGCAAGACTTTCCGCCATCGCAGCGTCAGCACATGCAAAAGACTGCCCGCCTGCTCACATAACATTCACGCCATTTACAACTGGCAGAGGTCCTACACCAGATGATGATGTGCTCAGAGGGTCCCCTGCTTTGTTTGGGATTTGGGAGAGACTGAAAAAGCAAAGAGCACTGCCAGAAAAAGGTCGATTAGAACCATTTGTCTGACTTGCTGTTCATCGCAGCCAAGGAAACCAGCAGTCGAGTCAAAATATCTCAGTTTACATTCAGGACTATTTAGAATTGGACTATCACTGTCAACAGATGAACAATGCCTATCTTTGAGACTGTTGAAACATTAGATTTTTGTCCAGAAAATTGCTAAAAGCTGAAGCAGGACATTAGAAAGATGTGTTACTGAATCATGGTTTCAAAATTGCAATCAACTTAATAAAAAAAAAATTGCGGTCGGTGGGGTTACATTTTTTTTTTTTTTTTTTTTTTTAGATAATAAGACTTAGTTAGATATCCTGAAATAAATTTCTTACCCCATTTTGGCTCACTAAATTTGGAAAGGATTGATTGTTAAAAAAGTTTGCCAAACTAAAGAAAATTAAAAAGTAAACTAACAGAAAATAAACTAAATTCAAGATATATTCTCTGAAAACAAGCTGTAATATCCATTTATCTAGGATGTTTATATGATAATCTCAATATCATTAAAAATTTATTATTCATTTATTTAATATATTTATTATTAATAATATATATTTTTTGAATGGCAGTATATATGAATATGCCTTGAAGTCGTGTTTCTCTTTTTCAAAAGGATTGGTCCAAATGATTTTTCTGTACCTCATGAATGTTTCAGTACTTCATTCCAAAATTTAGAGAATAAAACCATCTACATAGTGGCCCTTTGGTACTTTTGACGTCAGTAATGTTTTGCATTAGTACATTCTGTGCATACAATAATGAAAAGTGACAGAGTAAAATGTAAGTCGGCACTGCTGGGGTTTCTTATGACGTCATTCTGAGGTTTCAGGGAAAGCTGACAAGGGTGGAGCTAGCTTTGCAGATTTTCACAACTCCAAGTTCCAACACTGATTTTTTTCCCTCACTGTTTTTGTTTTCTGCCTTTTCTGTCTCCATTTAAAAAATGTGTAATGTCTATGGTGTCAAACTCTTGTTTAAATTATCTGTGAACGTGGGAGCTTTCATTAAAGGGTTTCAGCTAAACACGTTTATGTATGCGAATCAGGTTTTTGTTAGTAAACAGTACGTCAGAATTAGAGGTTATGCAACAGACTGCATGGAACAGAAATGGGTTTTTAATTTATTCCCACAGCTGTTCCTGAGAGCAGACTCAGAAAAGTGAATGCCAAACTGAAGCATTTGTTAGCATTTAGTCACAGGATTTAGATCCTGGAATCACACAGTTCATTTGATGCATGATCAGGCTTTTACTGGACAGCCCCACATTTAACTTCAGCCTGGAGCCTGAGAGAGAGGAGGTATGATAAGAAGAGACAGTCTCTGCAGACTCCAGCTCTGACAGGCAGCACTACGGCAGTTTAAAATGGCTTTACTCTTCATAATTAACCTATAATACATTCAAACCAAAAATTATTCACTTACACAAATTAACTATAGTGTCCTGGACACTATAAAAATGATAAAAAAATTATATCTGGTGTCTGAATAATTTTTGGTTTGACTGTATCAAATCAGTTAGTATCATCCTGGAAATATTTTAATATGCATTGTTCGTATATGTTCTGTTAATAAATGTGTGAATAAAAAAGTACTGTTCTAAAGTGTTGGGTTGGTTAGATTTTTTTCATCCTCACCTAGGCTGCATTTATTTTGTCTGCAAAAATACGTAATATTGTGAAATATTACAATTTAAATAACTTTTTTCTATCTGAATATATTTTCAAATGTAATTTATTCCTGCAAAGCTACATTTTTTTAGCATCATTACTCAGTCACATGATCCTTCAGAAATTATTCTAATATGCTGATTTGATTTGATGCTCAAGAAACATTTCTTATCAATGTTGAAAACAGTTGTGCTACTCAACTTTGCCATGGTTTGAAACCGCAAACTCTATTTTGATACATACAGTGTCAAATAACCTGTATTATAAATATAGCAAGATTGTTGTTTACTAAAATGATAGTCAAAGTCTGCTGCTCTATTCAACGCATTGATTGATAAATTTAAGAATCCTTACAGAACTGCCTGATGGGGCCATCTAGTGGATAATAGTTGAGAACAGGTCTGTAACCAGTATGTAACTGCATTTCCATTAGTGGTCCACCATCAATATGGGTGTTTATTGGCAGGTTCTTAAACTACTACAACTGGGCCTTTTTTCAATCCTGAATATTTGTGACTTTTTATGGAGCTCACTTTGTGCATAGGGACATTATGCTAGAACAGAAAATGACCCTATATGTCAGAAAAATAAAATGTGTAAAAAATGTACTAATATATTCCTTTAAGATATTAACATGCACACTAAGTGTATTTTATGCACTTAGTAATGTAGGTAGCTGAAACCTGTTAGATGGGAGTGTCCAAAATACTTTTGGCCATGTCACAGTGTTATTTTAGCATTATTTGTATATTTATTTATTTGATGTATATTTAGTCCCAAAACAGACGCCTGTCTCTTTTACACGCCTGGTGTGGGCGTGTGGCTGCAGGTTTGGGTAAATAAAGGCCGGTCTCAAATAGAGGCCGGGTCTGTTTTTTTTTAGTTTCGGGTTGAATTTAATCTTCTAAAACCGTCAGATCGTACGCTTTTTGGCGGCCGCCAACGCAAATGTTTGTCCCGCCAAAGCCTTTTTTTGATCGGTGAGTGATGTAGAATAGAATGACTGGTGCGCTTGACAGGGCGCGTTACGAGCATAGACCATAGGCATAGAGCAGGTTACGAGCAGAGAGAGCGCTCCGGCCGCGCGCGCGCACTCGTCTTCAAACAACACGAGCGCTGTCTCTCCCTCGCGCAGATTAATCAAAATCAGTTGACGCGATAGTAAAAGGTCGGAAGTTTCACGTGGAGCATTTGGGGATTTTTAGAGATTAGAGACTCTAGGCCTACACTCAATGAACAACATCAGAGAATGTCTAATATGGGGAGAACTCCCACTCACAATAAACTTCCGGGGTCTGAACTGGTTGCAGTTCCACTCTAAATCCATATGAGGGCGCTCACAGGCGGAGTGCAGAATGAATGGAGGTCTATGGAGCAATACCCCTAAAAATCCACTTTTCTCAGGATATAATTTTTTGTCTAGTAATTTGAATGTTGTATTCGAAAGAAGATGCAACAAAATTACACATTACTGGGTGTTAGATTTTTTAGAGTCACTTATTTGCTTTAAAAAGTCTTTTAAAATGTCAACGACGTCATACACATCGTACGACCAGAAACCTGCTTTACGGCAATCCTTCATTCACTGGTGCTTTCGCGCATAGACAGACGAGAGAAGCCGCGAAATTTAAAAATACTACTGTTATTGTGTCACGAAATGTAGTTTTAATAGTTTTTCAGTCTACAATGTAGTTGTTTAAAGCTCAAATCTGTGGTTTATTTATAAAGATAGCGCCTATTTAAAAGTTTGATCTGACGTGTTCGGAGTTGTGAGGACCAGTCTTTCACCTGGTCTCAGCGCTCTGCACCCCGCCTGGAACAGCCTTTCCTCGGCTAGTGCTTCTGACGTGTGCCGCTGGCTCTGATGTCTCTAGTAGTGGTTAAACGAGGTATAATTCGTCTTGTGTATATCTAACGGGAGATCTTTGGTCTTATTAATCGTATCATTTGTTCCCTGGCAAATCGTTTTGGCTGAGGGCAAAGTGAAGTTTCATAACTTTATATTTTGGCTATTTTAACGTTGTATCCTGCTGTGTCTGAATGGTTTACTTTATTTCTTGTCTTGTATAACTTATTATACCTTTTAGGCTACTTATACTGTTATAATGTCTCTTACTGATCAATAAAACTGAAATTTAACAAAAATAGACAGGGTGGTGTCATTTTATTTTATATAGCCTATATTTTATATAGCCTTTTCATTACTATTTTATTTGCTGTATACTGTTTGTTTATTTTATTGACTAAACTATTTACTATTACTCACTGTATTTATTATATTTACTATTTGCACTGCATTGTAGTTGTACCATATCGTATTACCATAGATAAAGGATCCATCAGTTGTCTTTGTTATTGCTAAAATCGGGTCAATCACAGAAAATGCTTTTTCCACAAAGCGGCCAATAGGGCGTCTGTGTATTTATTATGTTTATGCTTTTGCACTTTCTTTTCTCTCGAGGCATCAACTACACATCTGACACGGGTAAATATCTTTTTTTACAGTCTATTGTATATAAAGAGTTCAGTCCGCCTATGGCCTTAAAGTCCCCGTGAACCGGAAGTTGCAAACGACTTTTCTCCAGTGTTGTGACGTATTTCCGAGAACAACGGAATACTAAATGAGGCAAAATGGTGGGCGTGGCTTTTTCCCCAACTAGCACCTGATTGGATCTAGAAAAGTAGGTGTTTTCATTCGGCCTGTCTACTGCTATGGTCTACTGTCAGTTGGAGGGGCGTTATTACGGATGTTAAGACGCCGCCCAAACCGTGAAACCTACGTCATCAGGCAAGGTCCTCCAACGCAGAGGGGAGGGGAAATTTCAGATTTTGATTAAAGATTACGAAGCCAAAAAAAATTTTTGTGTGGATTGACTTGCATGGATGAATTGTTCACCACAAAACAATCAATTTAGGCAAACAAAGTAAGTATGGTCAATTTTGAATTCATGGGGACTTTAACATTGGTCCCGCTTCGGATGCCACGATGCCATCAAGCGGTGTCTCTGGTCGTAATCAGTCCTTCACTGACCAATCAGCGTCCATTAGCAAAATGCTAGCGTGTTATGGGCAACAACAACTCAACCTGTAAGACATCGAAAGGACATAAGCACTCGTTCATTCAACTTTCGACCTATAACCCATGTTGAACTTGCAGAACCTACATTCAAATCTGAGATTTCTCAATGACAATCGGGTAAAAGACAAATTTAGCCGCCTAGCCCCATTGACTCCCATTCATTTTGCACTCGGACGATCGCCCCCAGTGGAATTCTGGTGGAACTACAACCAAAATTCGGTACAATAGGACTTAATAGGGAGTGGCCAGGCTTTCCGTAGACGGGCTTTGACAACATCTCAACACTAAATTATAAAGGCCTGTCTCAAATACAAGCCGGTGCAGTTCGACGATTTAGGAAAATAAAAGCCCGGGCTACTATTTGAAGTTTTACGGTATACTTTAGGTGGCAAC